CACCTTCACCTAAGGATAAGATCGAAGAACAAAAGGATATGAAATACCACAGCCATCACCTGGATTACAAATATACACCGCCACCAGTGAAAGGCCCCTGTATTGCCTGTGGCATGTATATCGTCGGCTCGGTATGTATATCATAATTTAATTAGTTGTTAAGTATTATATTTCACTCATTTTTAGTATACTGCTACTGTTTAATGTTCTCATTTCATAGTAACTAAGCTTTTGTTATACTGTACTGACTTCAATAATTTAATACAAATACAGAATATTCTACCAAACTGTTAGACTCAGTGATTATAGTGAGCTAAAAATAGCTTCATATAAAACATTAATGTATTACAATATTTCCATTGAAATCTTTTTTGAAAGATTTATAGCTTAAACTATGATTTAACATTACATTAAAAATTATTTTAAAATATTTTAAATGTTTTATAATTTTAATATTGTTTAATACAGTCCTAAATTCTAATAGAATTTATTTTAAATCTATGTCAAGTTATTTTAACTTGTATAAAATATTTTAATTATAACACCATAACTATTAATTATTTATCAAACTATGTCTTAAAATTTTTTCCTTATATTTTTATAATTTTAAACAAATATTACAAAAACCATTAATCATTTTGTGTCAATATGTGAAAACAAATACTCTTTTATTAAAAATGATAGAATAAATACAAACATGAACATTTTATTAAAAATATATAATTCTTATAATAACATTACAAAAAAGAGATTATTTGTAGAAATTGATAGTTTAAATTATTTTTAAATGATGAATAACTGGTAATTGTTTGAAACAGTTGGTGACAGCATTGGATGAGATGTGGCACCCGGAGTGCTTCACTTGTGTCAACTGCGACACCATTCTCAAGGCATATAACTACCAGGTTCAGGACAATAAGCAGTATTGTAAGCCGTGCCACGAGAAACTCTTTGGTCCGCCCTGTTCTGCGTGCCATAAGCCCACCAAAAACGTGAGTTTCTATACAATCCATATGTTTATGACAAATATAACACAAAATCGGAATCGGAATGACATTGTCTACAGAATCGGATGATTGTGTTGAACCGCATTTGGCACCCGAACTGCTTCTGTTGCGTGGAGTGCGGGAAGATCCTGACGGTCGACAACTTCATTGAGCGCTTGGGTTCCCCCTATTGTAAGGAAGACTATCACCGACTCTTCTCTCCGAAGTGTTGCGTCTGCACCGAACCCATCAAAGACG